CTCCCTGCAGGGTTATTAAATTATATATTTGTTTACATAATCTGCTGTAGGTGGTTCCATATTCGAACTCCGTCCGGAGGATATTTAAATAGAAACGAGTTTAAAGAAAACAATCTCCTTCATTACTCCTGCATTACTGGTCAACTAGTTCTAAGTTAGCTTTTTGTAGCTAGCCACAAGCTATATATTTTAAAGAAATCCCGCAAAAAATCTAACTTCAAGTGGGTTATTTTTTATTAACTGAATTTTTTCTGCAGGGTAGCGTTTTGCATGGAAACAAATCTAATTTGCCTTTACACGATATGTTGGCATTTCCATTTGTAAAACGTGGCATGTACGCATGCAAATACATATCGTGTGAGAACACTTTTAGGAGACCACGGTAAAATTTTTATTGATACCTTGACAGTTTTATATGTTAGAGCGGTGCGGTTCCGGGCAAGTCTTTTGCATTAATTTTGTCGACGGGTGAGTACTGCGCTTGACTTCCACGTGTTCGCACTTTTTTGTGGATTGGCGCGTATGGCGCGGCTCTACTATAGTAGTCCGCACGAGTATTGGTGTACTGAATTTGTAATTTGGTTACTATTCATATGCGGTGCATCACTGTTCTTAGAAACTGTTGCCGATGGTTACTTAAACTATTTTTCGATTTGATGAACATTACTGAAATCAACGCTCTCATTATCAACCAAATGAATGTCTATACTGAAAAAATTTTAACGGGTACCTTTTTACAAGATAGTTCCTCGATTTATTGAAATCGGCTTTGATTCGCCGTACATCAATTAAAACACTTCTCTAATAACTAAAATTTAGAATAGGGATGCTCTTAGGTGCATCTCAAGATTTGTAAAAAAAATGGAATTGTCCTGAACAGCAGGCTGGCGTGGGCACCCAATGTTACGAGAACTGATAGATTTTTAAAGTAATATTGTTTTAAGAAGACTATTATTCTTATTTTTTCTTTTACATAAATAAATTATTTTTTGTTTCAAATTCCTACTTGCTATGAAAAAATTTAAGTTTGTGATCGTGAACGTAATATATGAGTATATCGATGGCTGAGTGGAAGATGGACTTATCTCGGCAGCCAGTTTGAAAACGCCCTATCTCAGCACACTTTTCAAGAATGCCCTACTTCATTTGGCTAGCTCAATAACGCCGGCCGTGTACTGATTCGAACACGGCGTCATCTGAGTGTCACCACAGTACCCATCGTCATACAATGTCATACACAACACAGTGGTGTCATGTCTATTATTTCTCTAATTTTCGCTGAGCAACGCTTGTACCGCCAACGAATTTAGTGCTAGGATGTAGTAAATGCCACGATATTCTCATCTTTCTTGAGTAAAGCTTTAAATTTGCCAATACATATACATAAGTTTCTAGCGTTCTCACCACTCAAAAGCCAAAATAAAGAATTAAGGCGAATTGTTTCTTGGCGTTAATGGCGCTGGCGCTATTCATATCTTGGTGTTGGCGCGGCAACTCCGGCTACGGTGTTAGCGCAAATGCGCCGCGCAACGCAGTGTTACCTTTGTCTAGACACAGGGGCTGGGCTATTATATACCTCCCATATAACCACATACCAAACGGCCGAAATTTTTTTAAATCGGACAATAACCACGCCCACATCCCATATAACGGTAATTTAGAGAAATACGAAATATTCAGTAAATCAGTAAATATTAAAGCTAATTTATTCAAAATTGATGGTTGCAAAAATTCTTTACCAAGAAATACATTTATGCTAAAATTTTTGGAAAATGGGCGTGGCACCGCCCGCTTATGACCACATATATGTATCTCGGTAACCGTTCTACCAATTCGTACCAAACTCGGTATGGTCATTATGCTTGCCACGTAAAAGCAAACCGGACTAAAATTACGGCTGGTTTTCATATAACGGTAAATTTCAGAAATCCTTGAAACTTCAATATTTCGAAATTTTAATTTATTCAAAATTGGTACTAAATACAATCCCTTGAAAAGAATTAACATTGCTTGGAATTTTGGAAAATGGACGTGATATCGCCCACATATGACTATATAAGTTTGTCTCATTATGTCTAACTGAACATTCTATCGAAGGTGTTTAAAACAGGGGTAAAACCACCCCGGCTTACCATATAGCTGTAGTTTTCGGAAAGGTGAAAAACATATATTAAATACTTGCGCCGGGAATTTAGTGTTCGGTTCCGCCCGAACTTAGACTTTCTGCATTGTAAAGAAATTTTAAAGAATTCGTTAAGATTTAATTCGATTTTTTTCCGAATTTTCTAATATGAAATAAATTTCGCACACTTCCATTCTTTTACGAAATTTCGGAAGAAAATCTGTGAAACAACGAAAATAATGGTGCTGTGTGAAGAATATCTTTGAGAATTTTTCCATAATTTTCTTTATTTTTCGTACAGAAATTTCGTTACGAGTTCGTGTATCTGATCTCTGTAACGATTTTTTTACGAATTTTCAAAGAAAATTTTATGAAGGGGTTGACACGAACTCGTAAAGAAATTCCTGTACGAAAAATAAAGAAAATTCTGGAAAAATTCTGAAAGATATTCTTCACATAGCAGCATTATTTTCGTTGCTATACCTATTTTAAATTTAGAGCCCAATTCTGTATCGGTGACAAAAATTGTTTTACTGACAAATTTAAACTTTTTCATAAATTTTTCCGTAATAAAAACTGTGACAAGAATTTGTCAGTGATACAGAATAGAGCCGTTAAGCTGTTAATCCTTAACCAATTTCCTTTTTTAACTGACTTCAATTCAAATGAATTGACGACATAAATAATATATTACAAAGTAGGTATCAAACTTAAGTAGCGTAAGAAAGATTAGTTTTCAAAACATTTCTGAAGAGGGTTGTCAACTGTATACAAATTTTAATTCAATTAAATTGATAAGGTAAATGAAATGCTGCAATATATGTGTCGAGGTGCTTTAGAAAGCTTAGTTTGGAAAATATTCCTGAAGAGGGTTGCCACCTGTTTGACGAATGTAAAACAATTCATATGATAAGATAAATGAAATATTATGACACGGGTGCCAAAACAAAGTGTTTTAAGAAAGCTTAATTTCTAAATATTTTTTTAAGAAGTTTATCACCTGTTTGAGAAATTTAATTCAATTAGATCTAATATGTATGTATGTAAATTTTAAATCTATATGTATATCTGCATGTGCCCTTTTGAACGCAAATTTTGTTCCGGAAAAGTGTGAGTGAAGGGCACTTCAAATACTTAAGAAAACGGTACTATATTGATAACATATATATACAATATTACAAGTTTGAAATGAAACGAAAGGTACTTAAGGAATCTTTGAATATGAAACATTTTTCAATAGTGATATCAGCAATCTAAAAAAATCGAGATACATAAATTTTCTTCCAAAAATGTTTAGCAAATATAAAAAAGAAATTGGTTAGGAATCAATAAATAAAATTAAAAATAAGGAGGCTCGGAATCTATTTTAGAGCTATACTTCCGTTTACTTTTTTGTTCATAATTAGCAGTAGAATAGAAGTAGTGACCGAAACAAAGTCGGTTATATTTTCTAAGAACAAATTGACCCGCCCTAATGTACATACATATCGTTGTTTCAAGTATAAAACCGCGTAACTGACATTGGCTGCCAAATATTAGATTTGCTCACACAAGCTCTTGGCTCAATCCTTATCCATTCGTCCTGAAATTACTAGTCAAAATGCGATTGCTTTATAAATAAGAAAGAGAACCATTTTGAAATATGACTGTTTTTGCTCTCTATAAAATAATGTATGCAACCTCACATACGCGGTTTTGCATTATCTTGATACGCGGTTTTGCATTTTGTTGATTCGCGGTTTTGTACTTTAAACGACGATATGCATGTCTGAATGTATGTATGTGTCGAATAAACCAATATAAATTTGTGTTCATACACCTACGTGCTAAATATGCAACTTATTAATGCATAAGCGCATATATGTATGTATGTAAATACCAAATGATATTTATATATTCCTTTACAACCTTAATTTCTTTAGAAACTGAAAGCAGAGAAAGTGGGATAAAGCGTCATACCATACATCCTTGCTTTTGTTTATGGTTATTATTACCTTGCATATTCGCCAGTATAAAAGCACTCTAATAAACTGCATATTCCAGCAGTAATTTTGCACAGCTTCAACAATAAGTTGCATCCAACAGAACCGGAGCTCAATAGACTTCCTTATTAGTCATAAATTTTACAATGTTGCTGAATCTTTTCAAAATCTGCGCTTCGCTGCTTCTTTCATTTGCATTTTTGCAGCAAATTAGCGCCGAAAGAACAGTCTGTGGGCCAGCAATAGATGCTGTACTAGACACTATTTGCGAAAATGGTTTTAATACAAAATTTAAGAAGTCATGTAAGTACAGCTACCACTTGCATATAAAATACACTTTGCAGCAATCAAATTTAATTTTTCTTTTTTATTTACATATGTATAAAAATATAAAATTATAAAATTTTAGTGGAATGGGACAACCTTGGCCACGCTGAGCTTGAAGATGAACTTTCCTCACGCTATGCGGCGGCGCCCTTTCCCTATCTAGCTAAGATTCATGGCGGACAAGTTGACACATTGGCTAAGACTCGTCGTCGCCGTGAAGGTGTATACGACGAATGTTGCCGCAAAAGTTGTACCTACAATGAGTTATATTCGTATTGCAAATAAATTTTTCTGTAAGATCTGTAGGGTTCAATGAAGAAAATTTTAATGATACTTACTCGTTCGATCGTTTAACTGCTAGAGATAATTTTTTGTAATTTTTCTTATTATGTATAAAAAATTAATCAAGATTTTTCTATTAAATATAGTAGTATTCTTAACTTATATAGTGCAATATCAGCTGCATATTTCATGGATTTATGCGTAAAATAAATGGAAATTTGTTTTCTTAGTGAGCATTTACTCGAGATAATTAAATGTATGTATATAAATATGTACACTAAAAAAATAAAACAAAAAAATTTTATCTGATAGCCGTCGTCCCTCGGCCATGAAGAAGAGCTTCTCATAAAAATTCAAGCACCGTTCCGAGTCAGCGTGACAATGTACGTCCCTCCACTGATGGACGAAAATTTCATATAAATTTTTCTGCTATCAAAATTTCTTAGATCAGTCTACAGCTCTTAAGCAACAAATGCTCGTATCAAGGCGAATTCATTTAAGGTGGTATCGATAAACAAATATCTACAAAAATCACTTGTATATTGTTTTTGCTTTTAGTGGACCATTGTCGAATTTCAGCTTCAGGTTTCACTCACTCACTAGTGAAATACAAACACACTATTTACAGCTGCTGAAACAACAGCGCCTTACATTAATTTGCCTTGGCTCGTATATTTCTTTCTTCAAGAAAATTTATGGCGAAAGTAACGTAATTTTCAAGCAACAGAAATAAGGAAAAATATTTCTTGTGCTTTTTCCTGAGAGCTTCAAATAGCCCTTTAACTGGTAAAAACGGTCTGGCAAAACCAAGTTTTTTATACCCGGCGCACACCGGGGTTTTTTCACCTTTCTGTAAACTGCAAAACTTGGAAGGATGTTTTCCCGCTATTTAAAACATTTGCGATAATATGCTCAATTAGACTTTGGGCCGTTTTCTAAAATTCCTGTTAAAGAACTCGTGCGTTGACTACGTGTCAAATTTATCGCTCACATGCTTATAGCAGCCAATCAATTTTTAGCAGGCAGTCGAGAAAATGGCCCTTAAGGAAATAATTGGACCGAGTTTGGCAGAAATCGATTAAGCGCTAAACGGGTTGCACTTATGTTGCCATAAGTAGGCGGAGCTACGTCCATTTTCCAATTCCCCATTTCAAAAACTTCATCATACTGATTTTGGTAGATATTAATAAATCGGTGAGCGAAATACACATATCGATTGCTGAGTGGAAGATCGACCTATCTCGGCAGCCAGTTCAAAAATACCCTATCTCAAAAAACTTTTCAAGAACGCCCTATTTCAGAATTTTATTGAAAAACACCCTACCTCAGAATTTGATTGAAGAACGCGCAACTAGTTTTGGCTATTTTTAGAAAAGCTGGAAACCTCTGTGTCCACGTGTGTTCCCCACTTTTCTTTTGAATTTTCTTACCACTTTTCTAACTGTTGTCTAGTTTATTTAGTCTGGTCACAAAGGAACTCGCTAATGCATATATAAAGACATCTTGCTTTTTCTTCAGACTAGTACTCATGCTATCTGTACTAGGATTAAAATTCCATGGTTCTTTCCCTTACTGCTCTAGCTCTCTTACCAGCTTCAAATAGAGTATCCAAGCAATGTTATCATGCGCAAATTCTCTTCCCTACCAAAATTTCCTATCAAGACCAACCAAAACCTACCAAAACTTTTTGGGGGTTTTAAATTGTTTATCCAATGCCAAGTTTATTAAAAATGTCGATAATATAAGATTTAGTGAAACTAAAACAGTGTACAACAAAAACAAGTTAACTATGTATAACAATTCATTTTACTGTACAGACTTACACACATGTTCAAAAGAGTTTTACAGCTGTCCACAAGCATGATGCCATTTTAAAAGAGGCTAAGGCCTTTAACCAATCAGACTATCTGACATTATATTTATTTTGAACCCATTTGCCCTTCTACGCAGACCTCAGACTGTGAAGACTTCAGCCTGGAATATAGTTGGGTATGTGCAAATTAGCAGACTTTTGCTGAACCTTGTTCCATCTTTGATCCGTCGGTATAGCCATACTTGGGACCCTTCGTCAATCATAGTTGTTATCACTTCACAGCAGTCCTTTTCAGGAATTCTGGTACCTTATAGGGTCAGAACCTGCCTTGAGAATGACCCAGTAGGTCTCCAACTTTCTTGCTGATTATATTGGGCAGTTGTAGAGCGCTTCAGCAGGCCTCTTTTTCAAACAGAATAGACAAAGGAGGAATGTCTGTAATGATATAAAGGGCATTCGTTGGACAGGTGCCCATATCTCCTGTGAGGGCCACGCAGACCAATCGGCGCAGCTTGCTCAAAGTGGCAGCCGCCTTTGCATGCTTAGCTTTTGGCCATCAGGCCAGTGCCACATATGTGTTCAACGGGTCTTACTACCGTATTGAAAGACCAATATGTTAGTTTTGGTGTTATTCCCCAAGTCTTACCACGAAGTATCTGTCTCAGGTGGACTTCAGTGAGTTTACTGACCAGCCCTTTTCAACCCAGCAGTCTTCAGGACATACATATATGTACATACATATTTAGTTTATCGTTGAGTTCAATTGAAACTAAGTTGTAGGCACATAAAGTATATACCTTGGATGTACATATCGAGCCCTAACCGCCAAAATAACGTAAGCGACATTTTTTTTCAAAATTTTCTTTTTGATGCAGAGATATTGCTAAAGCATCAAGATGCATTTCTGCATCAAAAATGAAATTTTGAAAAATATGTCGCTTACGTTATTTTGGCGGTTAGGGCTCGATATTTTATATTGGCAATATTGTACTTACGAATCAGGTATGTATATTTACACCTTCACGGTATTTACACCTTCACACCTTCACGGCACCGGTGAAATATTCGTGTAAACAAGATTTCTAAAATATTTGGATATAAATATTTTATATTTTTCGCCCATGTTTGGCAACACTGAATTCAAGCCTTCCCGCTCTCACTGCGAATAAGCTGAATACGTACAACCTATGCTCGTACATACCCTGCAAAAAATTGTGCGACTAATCTCTAAAGAGAGTATTCCGAGATTACTCTCAATCGGGTACAATGGGGCATTAATTAGTCCCAACTAGTCTCATACGGGTACTAATGGAGGTCNATGGGTATAATTGGAGATCACTTAGTCCCCAACTCATCTCTAACGGGTACTATTAACGATTTAATGATATGTACGCACTTAGTCAATGAAATTTCATGTCCGGCGTTAGCACACAGAGAGGGTATTCGCCTAACAAAACTGAGCACCCCGGTTCAAATCGCGGCTGGCGCAAATTTTTATTTTTATTTTTTAAAAGTGACTAGTCGCTTTTTATACCCGTTCGGGTATAAAGGTGAACAATTAGTCTCGTTCATAGGACATGCTCGAACAAAAGCGACAGTTCATTCCATATAAAGAGATCAAAAGTGGTATTAGTCGCATGCTCCTTTGCGATTGACTCCGGAGTCATCCCGGATTAGTCCAATTTTTTGCAGGGTTGCGATTGCTCCCGGAGTCACCCCTATTTTTTGCAGGGTATTTTGCTACACATACATGCAAATGCACATATGTGTTTATGAAGCACCGCTAATCTTTCACAATAATATATTCCCATACCCACTTCTGCGCTCATAAATATGCAACATAATTATTTCACATTCATGTTTACTTTGCAGGCAGAAAACTGTGAAACTAATTAAATTGACAGATGCTAACACGTGTAGGCATCAAAATTTTCCAGCGCTTGAACTGTTTTCGAAAACTTTGTGGTATAAAAGCAAAGTCGGAAACTGCAAATTTCAACAGTTGCTTTTCTAATCCCCTAAGATTAATTTGCGTTACAAAATAATTGAGAATATACATACATACGAAATAATCTAAAAAATGATGCCGCTAAGTTTGTTTAAAATCTGCGCTTTGTTGCTTGTTTTAGTAGCAAGTTTGCAACAAATAACTGCTCGACGAACCGTATGTGGCCCCGCTTTGGATGCGGTACTCAGCACACTTTGTGTGCATGGATTCAATACGAAATTTAAAAAATCTCGTGAGTACACTTAAATAATGCCTATTTTCAAGATTTGTGTATCTCATTTCCATAAAAAAAAAACTAAAAAAATAAGAAATAAAAACCAATGCAATTACAGTAGAATGGGATGAACATGGCGCCAATGAGCTGATAGAGGAGTTGCCATTTCCCTATGCGAATTCACCTTTCTTAGGAAAGATTCATGGCGGCCAAGTTGACACGCTAGCCAAGACACGTCGTCGCCGTCAAGGAGTTTACGATGAATGTTGCAACAAAGGATGCACCTACAACGAGATTTTATCCTATTGCAATCAGTATGAAAATCTAAGAGGCGATGATTGGTAAAGTTCTCGTAGCTCGGTAATTTTTTATATTCACATTACTTTAAGAACAAACTTTTCCATTTTAATAAGATAGTCAGTTGAGAATGTAATATTGATTATT